GGGCACAGTCGTTTGGTGCTTTATGCCTGCTGACTTTAAAAACCTTTTAAATTGACCATTACAATATTCTGTCCCATTGTCAGATCTCAGGCATTTTATTGATTTACCAGTCTGATTTTCAACTTCCGTCTTATATTCACGAAACTTATCGAAAGTTTGACTTTTGTTCCTCAAAAAATAAACATGAGTCTTCCGAGTATAGTCATCAATAAGTAAGAGAATATACCTCGAACCTCCAAATGATGATTCTTCCATCGGCCCGCAAAGATCAGAGTGAACGATCTGTAAAATCTCGTTCGCTCTCGTACCTTTATTTTTAAAGGGACTCTTGCACGTCTTCCCTTCGATACAGGGAATACACGGTTCGGACAAATCACAACTTTTAAATTCCATTCCAGTCACAAGGGTTTTCAATTTTTCCATATAATTTCTACTTAAATGCGCTAATCGTTTATGCCAAATATTCGAAAAATTTTCATTTTGTTTTGACAATGTCAAATTGACGACCTTGTTTTTCTTTTCTTCTAACTCATAAATTCCGTCAACTTCATGACAACTTGCAACAGTTCGATTCTTATTTTGAATAGTGCAACCTCCTTTGTCAAAATTAATGCAATAATTTTTCTTGGTTAAATCGCTTACCGAAATTAAATTCATGGATAAATCGGGAACATGTAAAACGTTATTCAAAAATAATTTTACGTTTTCGCCGACTTGAGGTTCAGCGTTCCCTCGTCCTTGTACTTGTAGCTTTTTACCATTCGCTATAGAGATTTTCATGTTGCCTTTTTCTGGTTTGTAAGACAACATCTTTCTCTTATACCACATGTTTTTATTAAACGCCTTCTTCGCATTGAGGCAGGCATTCGCGGTTTTCTTCCGCTCTGTGCACTCGGACGCCTTATGTCCTTGCTCGTGACACTTATAACATTTCCAAATAAACTTCTGCTTACGATCATTGATTTTAATGTGTGATCTAGCATTTTTCTGTGTCTTTCTCGTCATAAGGGCTTGTTCGTGGTCTGTGGCTACCTCCTTGCTTTGTCTACTACCTTCTTGTAGTAATTTGGTCTTAATCTGCTCCAACGTGATCTCTTGACCGCTGTTATCTACAGCCATGATTAAGGGGCCGTACTCAGGGGTCAATCCACCGAGCAAAATCGATATGATCCAGTCGTCTTTAATTGGTGAATCGATATCTGCCAACTGCTGTGCAAGGAACACTATTCGCGAGATGTATTTTTCCATAGATTCAAAGTTTTGTAATCTACTATTAAAAAGATCTCGCTGAATGGAAATTCGTCGACCCCAGCCTTTATCTTCGTAAGTCTTTTGTAGGCTATTCCAGGCCTCCTTGGCAGATTTAGCATTGAATACATGGGTAAAGCACTCTGGTTCTAATAATAAACAAATAGTCGTTCGTGCTTTTCTGTCTGCATCACTATCCTGCACATCTTTCGAAATTACTCCCCACCAGTTTTTATTTTCCAAATAATTTCTCACCAAGAACTTCCAATTAGGGTAGTCTGACGAACCTCTCAATTTCTGGATACCGCTTAAGCCGATTGAATTATTTTCGTCCGACATAATTTTACAAAAAAAAAAAATTTCACGAATTTCACAACCACTTATTTATTTCCTGCACGTAATTTTAGGTTAATTACTGGGGTTCTGGGCCCATAACCAGATGAAATTAACGTGGATTAATGAGGAAATAATAAAGCACGGCACGTATCACATAGACATAGTTTTTTATTTTATTGTCAACAGTTTCTCATTGCTATGACAACCAATTCAAATCTTATGGAACTAGATTATAATAGCCAGTATCTCCAACATTCAGAAATCACTATTTGATATTTTGTTGCGGTTTAGAACTTATAAATATGTTCTCATGTGCGATATCAGACACATGTACAGGCAAATTTTTATTCACCCTGATGATCGCGTTTTACAAAATATTATCTGGCGAGAAAATAAAAATAAACCTGTACAATGTTTACAGTTACAAACAATTACATACGGCCTGACAAGTTCCGCCTTTTTAGCTTCTCGATGTTTAGTTGAGTTGGCAAATATATATAAAGACAATTATAAATTAGCGAGCGAGGCTATTATAACAAGTTCTTATGTAGATGATCTTTTATGCGGTAGCAATAGTTATCAAGGCGTGATTGACTTAAAACAAGAGGGCTTTCTTTGGCTAGAGTTGGGTGGTTTTGAACCACACAAATGGTGCTCTAATGATATGTCTGTATTACAAGATATTCCGACGGAAAAATACGGTTTTCAACAGAAAGATCTTGATCAGGATTTGATAGTGAAGGCATTAGGCATTTCCTTCAACATTGAAGATGATGCATTTGAGTTAAGCGGCAAGGTTATAGCTGCACCTGAAGTAGAGACTAAGCGTACTGTATTAAGTTCCATAAGTAAATTTTTTGATCCAATGGGTTACGCTGGCCCTATAGTCGTCAAGGCTAAAATAATTTTGCAACAGATGTGGAAACACAACCTAGATTGGGACGCAACTCTTCCTTCCAAACTTCAAAAAATCTGGAAGGAGTTTCATTCTTCAATATACAATATGGATAAAATTTTTACATCTAGAGACTTACATCTACATGAAGCACAAGAAGTGGAATTGCTCGGATTTTCTGATCATCTGACGCATATGGTTGTTGCATATATTTGAAGGTGCAAACCGTTGATAAAAAATATCACATAAATCTCTTATTTATTATTATTTTTTATTTATGCGCCAAATCTCGTATTGTTGGCTTAGATTCCAAATTAACTATTCCAAAACTAGAACTCAATGGAGCCTTACTTTTATCTAAACTAGTTTCAAAGGTCTTAACCATAATAAGTAACGTAAAAGGAATATTTCTATTTTGTGACTCAAAAATAGCTTTGTGGTGTATAAACACTGTTGAGGAGAAATTACCATCATATATGGCTAATCGTGTCAAAGAAATTAATAAATTAACTAATGGTATGACATGGAAGTTCACTCCAGGTTTGGTAAATCCAGCAGATATTCTGTCTCGCGGTGGAGAGCCCAAGGATATTTTACATAACTGCTTGTGGTGGCATGGTTCTGATTATTTAAAAAACAATTCCTACTATTTCCAATTATCAGATGTAGAGTTCCCTATTTCATTGTTTGATGAGCAAGTAACTCAAACCTCGAATCTTTCTACTGACAATTGCATAATGCCATTTTTTACAAGGTTTTCAAATATCAATAAAATGCAACGAATTATGTCTTATATGTTAAGGTTTATTAACAAATGTAAGAAACTCTCGACAAATATACAGGTTATATTACAGTTTTAGAACTTCAAGATTCTTTACAAGTTATCATACGATATGTTCAACATCATTATTTCTCAAAGGAAATAGATTGGATAAAAAGGGGTGTTGACTATAAAACAAATTCTAGTTGTCATCTAAAAATGTTACACCCTTTTGTCGATGATAAAAACATTCTTAGAGTAGGCGGAAGATTACAAAATTCTAATCTACCGTTCAATAGGAAATTTCCAATAATTTTGCCTAAAAGGTGTGACGTAACTCGACTCATAATTCTAAATGAGCATTTAATTTTATTACATGGCGGTCTTTTAAGTCGTTGTATTGCCAATATAGTTTTGTATCATACTGTGACTACTACCTATTTGTTAAGAATACTATAGAAATACTTATTCTAATATATGTAGTTATATATTTTGTTTAAATGTGTCTTAAACATTTTAATATTTAAGTTGTGACTGAAGTGTCAATAGGTGGTTTATTTTAATTTCATGCGCGGGCGCAATTTTGTCAACGACATACAATTTCTTTTTTGTTAAATACTTCTTTATTCCTTTGCAATTTATTTATTTTTGTTTCTTTTGTTTATTCACAATTGTTTTTCATTTTGGCATTTTCAGTACATTTTATATTTACAATACATTTTTTTATTTATAATTCAATATAAATCCTGCAGTCATTAAATAACGCGGATTCTTACACCCTCCATAAGGCTAGATAAGTCATTAATATAAACTAAAAACAAAAATGTGCCTAGAATTAAACCTTGAGGGACACCCATGCTAATTGCAGACCCTGATGATCTCCTACCGTTAACATCGACCCTCTGTACCCTACCACGCAAACACGATTTAAGAAGGTCGAGATCACGTCCCGCCACACCATAATGGCGAAGTTTCCTGACCAGTGTATCATGGTGCACACAATCAAAAGCCTTGAAAAGGCCACAGAATACACCAATAGCGTCATGTGAGACTTCCCATGCATCAAATATATGATTAATCAACTCGACACCAGCGTCGGTTGTAGAGCGACCCCGAGTGAAACCAAATTGGTCGTTGGTTTCTTTTTCGCTGTTGGGAAATCATTTTAAATCTCATTTCTCTATTCTCATGGTATTTAGCTATACAAATTTATTAAAAACTCACGCCACATAAAACTTCAAACAATTTTTCTAAACATAGAACATAATATGAGCCTTCCAAATTATATTTTTCTAATCGGGTATTTTTCCGGAGAAAGTCCTCTATTTGAATTTTTTTTTTAAATTATTCAATTACTACATAGCAAAGACGAGAGTAAAAAAATTATGTTGCCATGTCTACTACATTTTTTTTTAAATTTATTAAGGCTTTGGCGAAGCCATCAGCCTAAACATGAAGTTTAATTATGTTTCTGTAAATATGGCCGCCACAAAGAGGATAGGCAATTTGAGGCGGCGTGCTTGGATTGATTCGGGATTCCTTAAAACGGGCCGATACGTGTATTTTAGTTCGTATACTTTCGCGTTTTAATCTTCGATTAAGGAACAATAGCACTATCCTATTCCACTTCAAACTAGATTTCACAAAATAATTGAAAGTCAAAATAAAAACGACACTTTCCCTTCAAAAGGTCCAGAGCGAATCCACCATGTCCACTTCACTCTTATTAAAAAAAACCGTCCTGTCAATGTCAAATTGACAAATACTAATCACTGACAGAAACTGATCACTAATTGTTCGATTTGTTCGTTTTGCTGTTCTTCCAATGAAAATGGCTTTACTGCAAAAAGCTATTCTTAACAACCCAAAAACTGTACAAAAAACGATTGGAATATTTTATAATGTCTCAAGAAACCGTAAGGACGTAAATTGGATAACTTTTTATAGTCTTGCCAACGCCAAACGTCGATGTTATTGTTACGTCATTTTCAGACTGGAACTATCAATACAAACCTGGTCCATACCCCAAGACAAATGAGGAGCGCGCTGCTGCAGCAAAAAAGTATGGGCTGACTATAGAGGAGTACACACCATATCCTGAATCAATGGGCTATGGTGATTACCCGAAACTCCCTGACATCGGTGCCGATTCCAAGGATCCACACTACCCTTGGGATATGCCTGAATTGAAGAGGAACTTTAATGAACCAGTTAGTTAAAACTTTATTTTGATAAGGTCCTTTGTTTTACACTTTTTAATAAAATAAAATAATAGTCTATTTATTAATTACAATTTTCCCATTCCCATTAACAGTCCCATTAATTACAATTTTTATCTCATTTTATTATTTTTTAGGTTCATGCATTAGCTGAACTTTATGGTGAAGACCGTTATGACATCAGTATGAGACCAAGATTTCCAGTTTGGTACCAAGCATGTTTTTTGTTTGCGGTCCTTGGTGGGTCTTTTGCCCTCTATTACTACTTAGAGGATTTTAAAATGGGAAGACCAGTTCTGGTGAAGCAATATCCTAAAGATGGACCTCATTATATGTTTGAATGCGAATGAAAATCTTAAATTAATTGTTTATTTAACTGCACATTTTTAAGTAGCTTCAGTAAATAAAATTCTGGATGTTATTAGGTTTTTCATTTTGAACTTGTTTTGAAATTATTTGTGATAAAATTGTACAAGCATTACAAGAAAATGAAACTATTCTTGATTGAACTTCAGACGAGTTTGAAAGAACTCCGTTCATTGTGTTTGAGTCAGTGATTATGAACTATTATAGTTCTTGGGTTTTCGCGATTGTTACACATCGGAAATGAAACTATATTTCCTATTTTTGGTTTTCAAACAAACCGACATTTCGGGCCCTATACAGGTCCCATGGTTGACTGTCAAGCGTGACCATGGCACCTGTAAAGGGTCCGAAACGTCGGTTTGTTTGAAAAAACAAATATACGCGATTTCAATACGGAAAAATAGTTTCATTTCCTAACTATTATAGTTATACTGCAATGCCTGTGGTCGCTATGAACCATTGCGAGGGAAGTCAGTAATGTTTATTATTGTTTTTAAGACTGAGTGGTGCAGGATTTGTACAAAGTAACCAGGAAATAAGACAAGATTAGAATTCAGGGTGCCTTTCATAGAAATTGAGTGTGTTCTGTTTGGTTTTTCCAGTATTACCTTAGTTGACGAGAATCGGCCTTGGGGAGCAGTCAATGAAGACAAGCACTTTGAGATGCATTGGCAATTTATTTGTAGATATAGGCATATCTACAAATATGGAAATGGAATGGAGGCCCATTTCACTTTTCTTGTTTCGTTATTTTGGTCGGTTAGGACCCTTTTAATAACTTACCATTCCTTTTTTTGGCCTTATTCAAAGATTTTTGATTCTCTCAGGTTTTTAAGTTTTGAGTTCCACCATGGAACTTTTCTACTGGAGGTGTGAATTTTGGGAAGCAGCAGAGACACTGATGATGTCCAGGAGGTGACTTCAACAGTAAGCTCGACACTCATGTGTTTGATTAATACAAGTGGTTTTGATTGCTTTGGGACACCTTTCTCAATACTACTTTAGTCTATCACTAGATATCCCAGCCTGTATTATTTGCATTTCTAAATTTGCACATGTGGCAGGCAGATTCTGTTATCAGATCAAATCTTATACTTATGTGATCAGACGTCTCTTGACTGACACGCCAGCAGGTTACATATTGGGTAAGTTTAGGTGTTGATAAACTCTAGAAAAGCACAATACAATGAGGTTTGCTGTCTTGAAATGTTATAAAGGATTTTTTATACACCTTAGGCAATTGAAAAAAATAAAAAATCAAAATATTTTAATTATGTTCAGGTTTAATATTTTTCTTTTATCTTCATTAATATTTCTAACAGGCCACTATATTTAATGAACTGCCTATATGTGTGTAGATTTATTTCCGATTTGTTGAAATGTGTGAAGATTCATTTCCGATGTTTGAAAGGTATAGTTATATACATCTTAAATATAAAATCAATAACTCTATATTCACTTATAAATACTAGTAAAGTATTCATCTTCTAAATCATACAAATCTGCTGCAATATCATCTCGTAACGACATAAGTTTCTGGTCACATTCCTGTTGTTTGGTTCTGAATAGTTTGGAATTTTGTGTAATGGCTTCATTGACTGACGGGAAGTCATTCAGAATCAAATACTGTTTGATATCTGATACTAGCTTCATTAGAGATTCTCCAGCTCGCACTGAAAATAGTTTCAATTATTAATAGAATTGCATGCATAAAACAAGCAAATGTAAATTACTGTTGCAGGTATTGTCACTTTTCATAGTTGAAATAAAAAGTGTGTTGTGAAAGGAAATAAAGTTTTGATAGCCAATGTGAATGTTATGACTTTCTAATGATTAATGACATTATTGCTTCCACAGTTGGATCACTGACATCCAAAGCAATTAACCCTTTCATGCTGACATATCAACTGTGAATTGGCAACTGGTACATCTCAATTTTGACAACTTTACAGGTGAAGAAAAAAACTGTTATATAGCATCTGGTTTATTAAATAAAAATACATAGTATACATATACCTATACATACATATATGTGTAATAAAAATATTTAAAAACTATGTCTTTTTATTTAATAAACTACAGCTATATAAATGATGCAAACAATATTTTACTCCATCCAGTAAAGTTGTCAAAATTGAGATAGTACCCATTGCCAGTTCACAGTCGACATATGTGTTGTCACTATTTTAGTAAAAATATTTGAAAAATTTTATAAAATTTCAAAATAATTTAATTTTTTTTAAAATTATTGATGAAAACAAAGCTTCACATTAGACGCCATGTAGCTTTAGGACACTATGATGATAACAAAATTGTTAGTGAAGCTATGTGTCTCTTAACAATTATATGCGGCCAAGCGACAGGTTAATGAAGCACTGAGATCTTATTTTTTTAAATGACACTGTACTTTAGATATAGTTTTTTACTTTGTTATTAATCTTAAGTTGTAATCATCATTCAATCATTAAATCGTATCATCTTAAGTAAGTAAGTGAGTTGGAAAAAAGAACCTTAAGTGATCTTCTTTTTTTCGTATGTATGTTACGCGATAATTCCGCCATTTTAAAAGAAGGTACCTCCATAGCCCATCCCATTTAATTTTGAACAATATCATCCAACTTCACGCATAAAGATTCATTTTTATAAATAGCACCTAAATTTTATTATAAGGAGCAATTATTTTATTAGTTGATTTTGCTATTCTCCAATTCAAGGCGTTTTTCTTTCTCAATATACTTTGAATAGTGAGAAGTGATTTTTATTATTTCCTGTGTCAAGTTCCGTATAGTGGCGAACTAGGGGATGAATCCAGGTTTGCGCACTTTCCGGTAACCGTTTTCAATAAAACTTGGCAAATAGACGTAATTCCACGTACTTTTGAGGTCGGTTATTTTAGTACTGTGTATTCAGATTATTATTATAATATATCTTACCAATATTAGCAGCTCTGACTTGCATTTCAAATGTGTCTTGTTCTATCTGTGTCATTCTGTTGAGCTGAGATTCATTCTCGCCTTTGGCAAGCTTGATAATTTCTGAAAAATGAGAATGAAAACATTTATAATACTGTTTGAAAGTTGAGTGCGAGAATGTCAGAGTTCATTAGTACTGGTGTATAAATAATTAAATATAAATAGCAATCTAAATACAAATAGAAACTTTACAACGAAACCATACCTTCAAAATTCTCCAACATACTCTTTACATCTTCTTTTAATCGTGTTGTGTATGACTTCAATAAAGCCTCTTTATTTTGTGGCAAGTTTCTGTGCATCGCTGTAGTACTTTATACGAAAATAATTATTTAAAATTATTAAAATACTCAGACGCTAATCGCTTGTAATCAATCACCACAGATTGTAAATGTTAAAACTTGACAAACTGTCAATGTCAAGTCAATGTTATAAGAAAATGACAGAAGCCAAATAACCCAAAAAAAAAAAAAAAAGAAGAAAAAAAAAAATTTTTTTTGGGCAGTGTTAAATGCATTGGAAAATAAATAAAAGTGTAGCTCCCATGACTGACTAGACATTGGCAAAATTCTAAAAGAGAAGCCATCCTTCTTTTTAAAAATAGAATAGAATAGAATTTTTTTTTTCCATTTTAAAAAAGTTTACAAAGAGTTGGCTATATGGTGTGAAACCTTTGCCTTTTCCCTAATGGAAAGAATTGAAAAAACAACAATCAATGTTTTATTTTTGTTTATTTTATGGCTTGACTCTAAAGTAGTTCAGCCAAGGCTTTATTCTGTTAATTATCAGTGTAAATGGAATAAATACCACTAAATACTTTAGATTTCCGGAAGAACATCATCAGTGTGGAAATTATGAACTTTAGTTTAAAACAAATGTGTTCCAGAACTAGGAAGGTAATTTTTTTTTCTCCGCATTTCTGTGGGTCAGTCCCATATCTTTTTACATAAGTTTTGTTTATAGTGTTTATTGTATGTATATTAGTTACCCTCTCTATCAACCTCTTGGTTATGCGGGGAGGGCGCCATGACCTGTGCTGGCGAGCCCGCACAAGGACCATCTAAGCAGCGTAACGTAAACGTGCAGGTCCTAACCCCGGATCTGCACGTTTGCACGCACTTCATCCGGTTCTCTGTAAGGCTAGTGCCTTAGGTGAGCCGCCTCGGGTGCACGTCTAGCACCCTCACTATTTTCCAGATAGGTATCGGAGCAGTTGCCACGCTCACTTCCCGTTGCGTTCCGCACGATTAACGGTTGCCACCGCTGAGCCGCCGACTACCAAATCTCCGATTTTAGTAGGTCTTGTTTTAACGAACTGCAAACGGTAACCCGAGCAGCACTCGGTCTAGTATCCCCTACTAAAATAAGACATTGAGTATCACTTCTTAATCTTCATTAACACTTAAACGGTTATATATTTCGTGAAAATTTGTAATTAATTATTACCTAAGTTGAGGTATAATGTAATCTTAGTCCGGTGTTCGATTAACTAGGCCAAACGTGAGAAAATGCGTTACTCATAAAATTATTCGAACCAATTTTGTGCCGGAAGTAACATGAAGAAAAATCGGGAAGTGATGTGCAAACAACACATCACTACCTCTAACTAATCGCAGCAGTCGCTACAAATCTCTTTTGTATACGTTTCATAGTCTATAAGTTTTAGTTTTATATTTAAATATGTGATTCGCTCTGGACCTTTTGGAGGGAAAAGCGTTGTTTTCATTTTGACTTTCAATTATTTTGTGAATTCTAGTTTAAAGTGGAATAGGATAGTGCTATTGTGCCTTAATCGAAGATTAAAACGCGAAATTATACGAATCTCGAACTAAAATACCCGTATCGGCCGTTTTAAGTAGTCCCGAGTCAATCCAAGCACGCGGCCTCAAATTGCCTATCCTCTTTGTGGCGGCCATGTTTACAGAACATAATTAAACTTCATGTTTAGACTGATGACTTTGCCAAAGCCTTAATAAATTAAAAAAAAAAATGAAATATGTTTGTTTTTGGCGCCTTTTTTTGACTTTGTTTAGGACTTGTGTTTGCTGTTTTGCTTTGATTGAAGCGACAAACGTGTTCTCCAGTAAATTATTAAAACCTGAAAGTACATTTGTTTGGCCATGCTCACTCGTTGTTAACAACCAACCTTTAACCCATTGATACAGTCCACTACACTTCCTTTATTTTTATACCTTCGTAAAGGTTATTGACACCGATCAGATAATCCGATGCAAGATTTGATTGAACAATTTTGGATTTTAATATTTTTAATGCAGTATTATATTTAATTAATACACTTAATTTACGGAACAAAAAATTGTTAGATAATTTGAATCCTTGACAGCGCTATTGCACTAGATACCGATTGTTGACTTTCAGTTACGCCTAGTTTAAGGAAGTTAAAAAGAAAAAAAACATACATTTTCTCAAATTTTATTGACTTTCACAAATGCATGTATGTTACATACTTACTGATTTACAACTTTGTCTGTGCGGTAAATCTTGCATATTCTTTGAGTCTCATTGCGTTGATATTAATAAAACCAGTGCTATCTTCTGGTGAGAATCCACCAGCTATATCCATCGACACCAAATCTTTGTTGTACAAGCTGGTAGAACTTCTCCTCGCCAAAACAGACACTACATACAAATTAGAAATGTTTTATTATGAATTTTTTTCAAATTTAGTATACAATGATGTGAACGTTTTTCTTCTTTCAAAATTTCAGTATTGAAGCCATTGACTTACAATTGTAAGTCAATGATTGAAGCAATAAAATGTACGTGCGCCTGGCATAGTATCTTCTTAGAGATATCTACAAAAAAAGAAAACACCGTCAATAAATTAAAGAATAATTTATTACCGTTGCCTTTGAACAGTTGCACTGTAACGGTTCCAGTGACAGTGTCTTGAGATAATTCCAAGCATTTTCTGGTGTAAGATGCCTCAGGGGAAAACCAGAAGCCGTTGTACACGAAGTCAGCCATTTTATCCTGCAGATACTTCTTCAACCTGTAGTAATCAATTGTGAATAAAAATTTCATAATTAATAATATTCGATGTTGCCACGTGACTCTTCTGCATTATCGCCTTTTTACTAAACACTTATGTAAAATACCTACACTTACGTTTCAACTCGTATACATATGTCATTTTTTATATCATCATCAAAATGAACGATTAATCTTTTTTTTTAAACTAACCTTAGGACTTCTCTATCAAGGGCATACGCTTCCAAGTCGAGATGAGCAACGTGAAGAATTGTGCCCGCTGGAGTTTCATACAATCCCCTTGACTGTAATAAATCACATTTTCAATAGACCATTTGATTCGCAAAAGAAACTGGTATTTCATCAAGATTTTAATTTACAAACATTGAAATAGCATCCCTTTTAAATTGCATAAAACCACGACTCATGGAATGCTGGCTATACCTCTATCGAACAAGAGATATTGTTGAAACATAAAAAGTACCTTAAGGCCTAGAAAGCGATTTTCAACGATGTCTATACGTCCAATACCATGCTGTCCTCCCAATTTGTTCAACGTCTCAATCAGAGACAGAGGATCATTCACCAATAAAGCTTTCTCTTGACCACTTGGTATTTGGATAGATACTGGCAAACCTAAAAAGCGACAATTATATTTTATATCCGGCATGAGGGACAAACGGTAAGCAGGCACATGTTTCAAAAGTAAACGTAATTTTAATAAGTCAGTATTCCTCTCACTACAACCATGATGGAGATTGCAATTTTATAAGTAGGAACATTGAAAAACGAACCTTTGTAATTAAATTTATTGAGTGTGACGGTGTTTTCTGCCGTCCACTAACGAAAACGCGTCTAAGAGACAAATTGTCAAATAACCATTTTAAATAGCAAAAAATACAGTACAAAATTCTTTTTTAAAAACAAATCACACAAACAAATCTCTTTTAAAAACAGTTGAAATTAGTTAACGTGTTCTACTTACAACTTATCGGAACGATAAAAAATCGGGAACGACAGTTAATCGTGTCGTGCTATATGTGAACAACTTCATTTAAATATACAAGCCACGACACTGTAAACTGCACGACAATCTGTCGTCACGATATAGTGGGAATGCGCCCTTAGCGGACGGCAGTTTTACTATCATGATATTTCATTATTTTTATGGGATCGAAAGAACTTTTCTTAGTGTTCGATGTTTGTATGTATTAATAGTTATAACAAACGGAGTAATTTCACAAAATAATTGAATATCATGGTAGTAAAACATCGAGACGTTGAATAAACGTAATTACAATTATTAAAGCGACATCTCTAGTCACCTGCCTGAGTGAAGAAAAAGATTTCCCACAGATGGCACTACGCCAAAAATGTCGTAAAAAACCAAAAACAAAGATCTGCAAACATAGAACAATTCGTAAAGTTGCTAGTTCGTTCCGTGGCTCAGTGGCCAGAGCGTCTAGCACGGACTGCTGGAAGGCGCTGGGTCGAATCTAGCCAGATCGAATATTTTTTCTTAGTGTTCGATCTTTGTATCAATAATTAAAACAAACCTTTATCAAAATTGATATCGACGGTGCAGGTATAGTCCTCGGTAGTTTGCAAGTCGCGAGTCATTTTGTATATTCCTTTAGGCGGTATCGTCGAGGGATCTTCTAACACCCCAGATTCGTAACTAGTGAAAAAGAGGTAGAACTTGTAAATGAGCAAGGACAATGAGTTACATAAATAACGAACGAATTAATGGACAAATAAAAAAGGCGTATTTGATAGACATTTATTTTTTGTAATAATCGTCTCGCTATTATACAAGGTTATTTGTAAAATAGTAATAACCCCGCAAGATTATACTATAACTAATATCATAAACAACAACTTTTTGTTCCATGATTTATTTAAATTCATCAGATTTTTGTTTCGAAAAAAAAAACAAAAATATTTAAATAGATCGCTCTAAACGGTCATAACTCTGTATGGTAACAAAACAAAGCGCTAGCGTAAAACCAGTCTGATGAAAAACACTGAAGTGGGGAGTACGCTTGTACGTTTGAACTTATAAAAATAAGATAAGATAAAAAAAATCCGACCTCAAAAGTTCGAGGAATTATATCTTTTTGCCAGGTTTTATTGAAATCGGTTAGCGAAAAGTACGCGAAACCAGATTCATCCCCTAGTTTGCCGCCCTCAAACTTAAATGGGACCAACGGCAATCATCAAAATCCGTTCACAAATATAGAGTTATCGCGTGTGTGTTACGCGTAACACACGCACAAAAAAAATAAAATAAAAATACAGTCGAATTCATGAGCTCCTCCCTCAAAACAGAAGTCGGCTAAAAAGTATCAGCGACATGATTTTGATTCATATCAATCGATCCGATTGGGTAGTCTCAAAATCAGATGGGTTTCTGAGCGAGAAGATGAACCTGATTCTTATTATATCTTCTAATTCGTGAGTTAAGTCAACTATTAATAATAATATAATAATAATAACGCACACACTCAATATGGCCCCGCACTAGGGAAACCCTGTGTCGCGGGTGCCATGGACACACACATAGACAACCACCAATTACACCCAAACTCACGAGAGAAATAAATGTAGGCCATACAAATGTTTCTCCCGACCCGGGAATCGAACCAGGGACCTCTGCGTGGCAGTCCGGCATGGTAACCGTTCGGCCACCGAGGCACTTGTTTCGATTACAAATATCAAAAGTTTCCGATGGGCCAGTTGTGAATCACAATTGTGCGCCTCGACTCTGAAAAGACGCAGTTTCCGATCGGGAAAAGCAATCAAAATCAAGCTGCAGATTACACAAATTCAAAAGTTTATTTTTGGTAAAATTATGTTTTGTAAAAATCGTGGAACAAAAGTTGTAGTTTATGATGTTAGTACTAATATAGTGATGCGAAGTTGTTAGTATTTTACAAATATCTTGTATACACTGAATTAAGTACAACTAAAACAAACCTAATATGCATAATATTTTCATCAGTAGACCACGGCGCTTTAGGAGTAGCAGATACAGGGATATTTTCCTTCTCGGCAAACGTAAGTAGGTCAATCCGTCCTTGGAATCTTTCGAAAAATTCGGGTAAGCGCCATGGTGCTATAACCTAGAATTTCACACTAGATTGTACAGACGTGCAGTAAAATTTATGGAATGTATAACTTTACGACACAACTCGGCATTTGGTGTTCTAAATTTTTATAAATTAAATGTAATACGATCGTCACTTATGGGATCGCTGGTCAGCACAACTTATATACCTCCGGCGAACTCTCGTCAAAGCTCAATGCAAGACAAAGCAGTTTCGAATTGACGAAAAATAAGTAAATATTTTAATTTTCGTTTTATTAAAACTTAGCTACCCCTTGCAATACTGGTTATAAATCGAAAAACTTGTAGCTGTTACTGGCATTTGATTATATTTTTTTTATAATAATATATAAAAAAAAATTATAATCTGTCAAAACAGCCATCATAGCGTGCCGGCACTGTAGTGGAGTTATTTAACTAAATAAAACAAATCAATAATTCATTTTCTAAATTTTGACCAATGTGCGTGTCAATAGATGGCATTGTGTTTATAAATTAACGCTTCCTAATATGGGTAGATGGCGCTAATCCTAAACAAAATAAAAGAACAGTTAGCACTACCGCGCTTTCCACAGACATACATAGACGCCGCAAGTGTACGTACTTCGCATGCCCAAAGTAAGTGAAATTGACTTGCCGCTGATAGACGCCGCAAGTGTACGTACTTCGCATGCCCAAAGTAAGTGAAATTCACTTGCCGCTCGCGCTGCTACACTTCAGAACGCGCTCGACCGTTATCGTAGATAAACACTAGTCGAAAACGTGAAAAATGCATTATTGTGCCATTATAAACTGCAAAAGCACCATAACTTTGGGCAAACTAGTAAACAGGGACGTTTCCTTCCATGGGCAAGTGATTTTGTAATCAGAAGATGCAGCATTTATTTTAAAAACAATTATTTTAGTTTTGTATGAATTTCGAGAAAACAAATATGCAACCGAGTGTATGCCTAATTTTTGTAATGCATTGCGGCTTTTACTTGGTGCGATAGATTTGCGATCCCTTGTTAATACGCCATGAATATCGAACGGACGCACTTTTGTATAATGCATTCAATTTCGTGGTTCCGCCGCTTATACATTTCTTTGGCCAAAAACATTAAGTGATTTATACATTAGGCAACACTGTTCTCGATTCTGATCGATTTTGAAAACAAAGGGACGAAAATTATTATGACCTTAGCAATATTATAAAAATATTCTATAACTCTTTTGTTATAACGTTTCGTTTTTATTTTTTCAGTTTTGTAGTATCTATTATCAGTAGTATCTGTAATTTCGATAAATTTTGCAGCACGTTGCCTCGAATGTCCGAATATAGTGAGCAAATAATTACATACATCGCCGGATATGTAGTACGGGTAATCGGGTAAAAGGCAAAAAAATATATAATGCAAAGAATTACCATTGCGTCTTTACAAAAACCTGGAGTTGGTCATATGTATGAGTTCGGTGCTTTTGAGGACGAAGGTGGTCTAGTTTATTCCACCTAAGATGCTACCCAAATATGTAAAGTAGCAGAGTTAGAAATCCGAGAAATAATAAACAAATCACAAACATTTCACACGAGACCGTCGTTAAGTAAACCTCCTCTGATTAATCAGATTTTACCATATTTTTCAGCAGTAACATTTTCATTTGTCTTGCCATTCATCAATTTGATCAATTACCAACAGAAAACTATCTAGTAAAATGAATTAAGGCAGTCGCAAGTTCATACTTTGACGTGCGTTTTTATTATTTAAGTTAATCGATAAGATCCTTTATTACAAAAAGATATTATTTATTAAAGTCATTTTATTGGAAGGACAATAATTTAAATATTTGAAGTCGATTAAAAACTAAAGTCTTAATTTTTTTAAGCAATCAATATTTTTTTTAAACAAGTGAAATAAAGGACTTAACTATCTTATTCTAGTATTTTTCTACTATCTTATTATTACGACTACTTGTGATCAACAAATTATTAGAATTTGAAAGGAATACGCATGTTTACGCGTGATTATGCGTCATCTAGTTATCATTAGAAATTAGAGTAGCTTTGATGAAGTAGAGCAGCTTGCCAATATAAAACATTATTATTTTCTTTAATGGCGGTCACTAGACTTGAGTCGGTAAAATAAATTAATTACAAAAGTAGCCATTTGGCACTCTTCGCCACACCAGGTGTATTAATAGGTACTATATACATGACTATGCTCCGTCTTGTATCGCAAATAGCAGTCCTCGAGTTATTGATTCATGGTTATGCAAAGAAGGGCAGTAATATTAGATTCGTGCATTTATTACATTATCTGTCTATTTTCTTTTACTTATTCTGGTAACCCAAGGTTACTCACAAGAGATTGCTATATAGTGATAATGCCGTTAGTTGTGCCCTGTCTTTTGTTGGTCTACGTATTTGCTTGTGTGCAAATTGTATTTTTTCTTAACTACTTACCTTTCCTTGTGGCCATAAGGAGTACACGCTGAGTTCAAAGCGTACTTGATCGTTGCCTTTTCCTGTTGCTCCATGAGAGATGTACCTAATTAATATAATTAATTTTCTTAGTTCAACACCTAGAGATACTTAGGTAATATATCCATTTAATAGTGCATGCATCAGCCCTTGTAGCATGGCCACACTCCGGACATTTCATATAACGCACGGTCGAAAATTATTTACCTACTACTATTACTACATACAGAAAGGCGCTATCTGCACACGCGCAAATGTGTGCGTGAAGTGGCAGGGTTACCCATCACTTGCTCGTACTATTTATTACGTTACGTGATCAGAGCGGCAAACTATTATCTATAATTTAATTATAGAATCCTAACAATTACACATGTTCATTACGTATTTATATCGTTATAATATTATATTTTTCATTAATTATTTGCATTACTTATTGGTTCTCTGGCATGGTTACGCATGATAGTCGCGACGCGCGCGCTATTGGCTATCTAAATTAGATCTGACAGTGACAGCCAATAGCGAGCGCTTATTTCAATTTTATCGCGCGCGTCGTTACTATCATGCGTAGCCATGCTACGGTGATGTAGATGGTTAATTAAGTCATTTTTTATGATACTAAGTGGTGGGACGAACAAGTCGTGCGCCTGATGGTAGGCTATACGCTTGTCCATAACAGTTGCAGTGCCACTCAAAGCTTTAAATTGCAAAGATCTGAGGTGCTCTGAGATATAAGTTGAAAAGTGCCTGTAATTTCACCAATACCCTTAGCCTTCAAAACCGGAACGCAGTAATGCTTACACTACCTATTGCTTGGCGGCAGAAATAGGTAGGGTGGCAGTACTACCCTGGACGAACTCTTTCACAAGGATCTCTACTGCTACTAAACTACTACTGAGCATAACTAGGTTTACCAGCGATGAAGATCATATTTGAAAGCAAAATTTTAGCGACTGTCTTAAAGTCCGTGAACAACAGTGGAACATACATAATTGGACGTAGTTAAGCAAAAAGTAACAACGTAGTTAAGGACCTAATCCACAAAATTATCAAAAAATGTGTTATATGTATGTACCGAACGGTTCCTAAAGTCTAACCTTATAGATCTCCAAAAAAAATCCAACATATAAACATAAATAAATATCTCTGGAGTTACATGACATAATTAGTTTTGAAAATAAAACAAGAGTGAGAAACACTTTTAAACTTCAAACTGCCATATCTGGAAAGTGAGTGGCTATGGATTAGATCCTTTTTGTTTAACTACGTCCAATTGAAACTACAAAATTCCAAACAAATGCAAAATACGAAGTTTGTTTTTTTTATCAGGCTATTAAATAGAAGCTGAATATTCACTTAGCCCCAAGTTTCATGGCAGCCTTGACGATGCCCACAGAGATGCAAGGCCGAGCCAGCGAAGTGCCCAAATAGTAACGACTTTCGTATACCAGCCCCATTTGTATGGCTGGTAGCATGTAGTTACTGACGAACTCCTTGCGAAGATCTTCTACGATGACCTAAGTATGTAAGTAAACATGACTGTATTGCCATGCGTGCTAATATTTGACGAGCTCCGTAGTACAGCGTTTAGTAAAATGGGCGCTAGATGAGGTTGCGGATTTAATTCCCGATAAGATCAATCAGGAAAAATTGCCAATTGAGGCTATCAGCGCAAAAGTGGTGTTAACTCACATTTTTTCTGTATTATTACTTTAATCTTAATAAAAATTAAAAATGGAAGTAAATTAAAAATAATTTCTTCGGCCGAGTGTGGAACAATTAACAACCCCTGAGGATGCCTCGTAGAGAGGCGAAACACATCAAACACATGTCGGATATATTTTTGGTGGTGTCTGTGACTGTAGTTGCGATATGTTATTTGTTGTAATATTATGCGGAGGGAGAGTGAGAAAATTAACTGCTTGAAAAAAATATTCAACACAAGCGTAGCTACTTTGCATGATTTAACCTCCACCGGGTTCGCGAAGTAAGTAGTGGTGGATTTGCCCTAAGGCCCAGTAGGTCCGGGCCTGGGCGGCCAATCGTGACAAAAAAATTCACTGAGGATATCAAGAAATAACTCAAAGTACCTAAATATACTAAAGGCTACCGCACATAATGGCGGGCCGCACTGCATCGCATCGTATAACAATAATCTTCCTAAATCACTTTCGTACATTTTATGTACGAAATATAAATATGTTACATATTATCTAAAATGTAATTTATAATCTCTACATCTCTACATATTATCACCACCGCGTCAGTCTGTCTGTCTGATCGCGTTAAACTAAAAAACTACTGAACGCTACTAGTGCAGCTATTATCAGTTAACTAAATGATTGAATCAATTTCGATAAAAGCTGGCAATAAAGTAAACTCATTATGTAGTCTACCAGTATATGATGAGCGCTGAGAAAGGGGCTGCTGGTACTGATTACATGGTCTTTTGCCTACGGCGGCTAAGACTGCAAACCCGCCACCTAATTTCTACTATTGAGTACCTTTATTGCCATATTTTCTACCTTGGCGCTAACGGAAATATTAAAGAAATAAAGTGACCAGCCATTTTGACGTCAGGTTGGCTGGACCACTTTACGGTTTTCATGGTCCCAGCAGTATATAATTTACTTTTTTTATTTAATTATTAATTTAATTTCTACCTAAACATACTTTTTTTTGAACTTTTTTAGGAAGCTTCTGTAAAAAGTTATTTAAAAAAAATAATAAAACGCCTTTATCTTATAAATAGCGGAGCGCAGTGTGTTCGTGGACGCGAGCGCAGCAAGATATTTTGGTTTGTCGCACTCCGCGCTACGTTTACGATGACGACGACAACGAGCAGAGTCGATGCGCGAACCTAATGGAGCACTCGGTGTTCTCATATACAGGGTTATTTTTAAATGACTAATAACCTCGCAGGACTACATTACTAACATCATATACTACAACTTTTGTTCCATGACTTTTAATAATTCGTCAGATTTTACTTTCATACAAAAATAAAAATATTTAATCGTATGCTCTAAACGGTTATTAACACTATGCGGTAAGAAAAGAACACGCTAATTGGGCTATGATGTCGATGCGCTAATGTAAACAAATCATCCGATGCGAAATGCACGAAAGGGGATGGGGGAGGGAGGGAACGCTCCTACGGGCGGCGGCGGCGGGGCGTCGGCGTCGGCGGCGGTCAGTCATTTTGATGCATTCGCGTCGTAAATGCACATGTTATTTATTGTTTTGTAACTCTAATTATTAGCACGATGACGTATCGCTATTCAAGTGCAGAGTATACATACGGAAATGGTGCGGTTACTTGCTATATGTGGTGACAATGTGTCGGAAGCCTGCCGCGAATATGGAAGACGATTTCCTACTGTACATACACCAAGCCAAGTTACAATGTTAGCTGCCACACAGCGATTAAGAGATCACGGACAATTTTACCCTAGGTCCAGGATTGTGGATTCAGTGTATTGTCAACAGCACATCATGTTACATGTTTGTGTTCGAATATCGTAGTATATCGGAACTAGCTCCGCCAATATTTAGCTCGATGTGCTGCCATTCGTACAAACCCAGCAAGCGAGTTAAACGTGGAAACAAGCTATTAATTAACTTCTAGGTATTAATCACAAGAATTGTGCTAGTTATTCGACGTAAAAGATGTAGGTCATTTCGTAATAATAATTGTTAAATAAATTGCATTATTTGTAGGTATTATTTAGCCCTTGCGTAAAAAGCGCGGGAATTCCTACCGACAGACAGCACGCGGCCGGAAGGCGTTGCTATACATATGTTTAATTACTACTTATTACCAAAATACAGATCTAAAAACTGTCAGACAGCACAGAAAAAATTTAAAAGTTTGTTTTCGGTAAATTTATTGCGTTTTGTAAAAAGTCGTAGAACAAAAGTTGCTCCTTATAATGTTAGTAATGTAGTCCTGCGAGGTTATTAGTCATTTAAAAATAACCCTGTATATACGTATTTTTGGAGAAAAAAATAAAAGTATATTTCTCCATAGAAAAAAAAAATATCTGAAAGTATCAATTTTTGAAGAAATACACAACAATAAAAGATGTTGAAACGAAAAAAGGCACCACTATGCGTACTTTATACAGCAGTTGTGCCTTTTTTCGTTCCGTATTACAAAAAAAAGTGGGTTACACCACGTTTACGCTGATAAGAAGAGAAATAAGTTCTTGGCAGTGCTTTGAAGTTAATTTCGTTGTTCTGGTATCCCTAGTACAGGGAATTACCTGCAGGTAATTGCTGTGCTTGCATGGCATAAACAATTGTAAATTAACGGAATAAGATCGTTATCGACATTACTTCCTGAGTAAATTCGGATGCATAGATAGTGCTGCGTAAGACAAGTCAAGAAAATATACTAAGAAAGAAGAATGTTGTGAACTTACTTCTTTCGCTCCAATAGCCCTAGCTTTCTGTTTAGCTTTTTCAAAATCTTCATTTTGACCTATGTCGGCCATATAAGCTACTACGTCGTAATTCTTTTGAATCAACCTGTACAAATAGCAGAAATAAATGTTAAATAAGTTGTCTATAGCTCGGAACAATGTTAATAAAAAACACAAACTAAATATATATCACCATTTCAATATGCAGCTGGTGTCCAAACCACCTGAATAAGCGAGAACAACCAAATCTTTAGGCATAACGATAAATAAAATTTTTAAAAATCGTTATGAATAAAATAGTTACTTCGTGTACAGAGACCTGTGGAGTGAACTGCGATATTTACAGCCATACCTAGCACAAGATAACCCACAGGTCATTTATACAATAATACACAATCAAAAGACTGGGTTTATATCAAGAAAACAACAAATGGATGATTAAATAATTTAATAAAACTCTTAACATTTGAATACTGATAGTTAAGTATTATAATATGCATATTTCCTACATAATTGCACAATATGGTTAGCTATACAAAAACGTACTTTTGTATTCGAATATTCTAACAACAATTACCTCAAAGGTACACAAGAATTTCCAAAATGTTTTCAGATATTAATAATATTTGTAAACGGCAGAGTAATATTATTTTTAAATAGAACAATAAATACATGGTGTTTCCATTCAATCGGTAAAATGTCATCATACCGACAAAACTATTGAAGCATTTATTTAAGCTATAACAAATTAATTTTACTTATCCACCTAAAGTTTGTTCAATGATCGAATATTCCCACGCTTATAAAATGTGAAATCCACTTTATCGATATCTCACTATGATGACAATTAATAATTTTATTTTTATTACCAACTATCGATGGTACCATGATTAATTGGTAATGGAATGTTGAAACAACAACGGTGTGATTTACACATACGCAACACGACAGAACAGCTGCAATAGTTCTAAGAATACTAGGTAAGAGTAAAAACACTAGCGAAATTGTAACCTACTGGAAATATAGGATTTTAATACAATAGATTGCAAATTATCGTCTAACGTTTCGTGCGTAACGCCAATTGCAAGAGTTCAAAATGTAATAACTAACACTCTGGTAAGATCTAGCATTTGGCATTAATTAAATAATGAAGAAAGAAATCTTACGTTAAAGCTAATGACATATAACATGAAGGCATTAATTATGTCTAGAATTTTATTCTAATAGTTGTTTGTTGGTTATGCGAACACTGACGCCTTCAGTACTGAAAATAACATTTTGTTTGGTTCTCATTTTCCACCAGTGCCTTTATCAGCATTCAGCGTGGTCCACAAGATAAACTTATAGAATTAAAAATAATAATAATCTTACAAACTAAAAATCAATTGTTAGATGCAATTTATTAATGAAAACTTGAGATAAACGTTAACAATATAAATACTTTGAATACTTTTAACAAAATTATAATATTTACAAATAAAACATTCAAACATAATGTGAACAGTCCAATGAATAGGGTCCAAGAAACACACTACAATTTACTGGTACACTTTACACCTAATTGCTCTCATCTGTGAACTGCAAGCGACTGCACAAACACTACATTAGTATGATTATTATCACAATTAGTTGGAGGCATCACAGTGCTAGTCAGTAACGTGTACCTATTTATACGACCTCTTCAAAATAACGGTGTCATGTTCCTAAACAGCAGCTTATAAAAGAATTACTATGAAACTAGTGGCGCGCTTAATGGGGGAAAACTTTGGAATAGGATTTCGAAACTTCGCCACGAACAAATCATACTTGCCATAGTTTAAAAAGTCGAAACAATGTAATGTACGTTTCCCCCTATATTCAAATTAAATCAAAATTTACTTTTAAAAACTCGCATTTACGTTATCGGAACATGGTATTTCACGTCTGTGTTAAAGTGCTTGATTAGTTAGTAAGAGAGTTAAGGTCCGCGAAGAAGTTTTCGGGAGTAAGGATGTGGGAGGACCCAATGATTACTTCCCAGTTCTTCAGTGCGGCTGTTACTTCGTATGCGCAGCGAATCTCGGAGAAACTTACTCCTGAGGAAAATAATAATATAATTGCTTTTACACAAATGGCCATTAGAGCAAATAAATAAATGGAGATATAAAAACAATGTTAATTAAAAATAAAGAGAATGCGTGTAACGATTCTAATGAAAATTTTTAAATATTTCGTATAATCCCAGTAATATTATAAATAATAGTTTCGATGGATATTAACTACTCATGCTGAAATGGCTGATCGAATTGTGATGAAATTTAATGGGATAGATTTCCTGGATTAGCTAATTAATAGCACGGGCAGAAGTTAACTTAATTGAGGCTACCAGATCAAAAGTGCTACGGCCCACATTCAATTATTTCCACATTCATTGAATACAAAATTATTATGTACTTTTGTGTCATTTAAAGTAATATTATAGAAAAATTACTGTAATGTTATAGTAAATGTTACACCGCTTTTCCGACAGCCTCAATTAATCTAGTTTAGTTGTATTAAGTTCTCTCACCCCCGACGATGAAAACAATCAAGCGAGGCACGTTCTTGACGGTTTGTTGGGCTTTGTCCTTGTGCCAGTGGCCATAGCGCACGCTGCAATAAAACGAAATTTAAATTGCAAAATATCTATGCATTAAAAAATACACTGTTTTATTTATTCCTGACATGTTCGTACCTGGTGGGCGCCTGATAACCGGAAGTCTGGGCGCGTCCAGCCAAGAAAGGGAAGTGACGCTGGTCAAGCTTGTCCTCAATTGCGTCTTCCATGATGTCCTGTAAACAAACACATGTAGTAGTATAAGGTTCAACTCACACTGGCGCAGAGTCGAAGCGTCGCGTCGCGTCCTGTTTTTCAACCACAACGCCTGGCGACGCGCGTCGACGCTCGCATTAGTGCACCTGGATCACAGTGTGGTCGGCGTCTGACGCCTCAATGCGCTCAAGTAACGCGTGAAACCGCTCGAATGCAACCAAGTGTCGACGCGCGTCGCCAGGCGTTGTAGTTGAAAAATCCATATTTGTATAACACAAATTTGTACCTTAATTATGAGAAAATAGGTGCAAAACATGACGCGTTGCGACGCTTCGACTCTGCGTCAGTGTGAGTTGAACATATGCGTGTAGGAACAAACTTTATCAACACCAAAGACAATTTTTCTAATCCTATGAAATATTATGAAGTAGTGAATTCAGTCATACCTTGACGATGGGTGTCCACCGCGACATCTGGTACGTCTGCTCAGTGATACGCTCCTTCCTCGTAACTTGATATTGTTTCTTTCTGTTGCCCTACAAATATAACCGTGAAATAGTAAGAAACAGATTGATTCAGAAAGAGGCCCGTGCTTTACGTTGAGATGTGCTTAAGATGCGCATATAACTCATAAATGGATTGAAACAGAAGTTGAAATAATCATTAATACAAAGACCGATAGAACACTTAGAAAAAATGTCTTCGAACTGGTGGGAATCGAACCAACCTCATCTAGCAAACAGTGCCAGATGTTATGCCAACTTAGCCACAGAACAAAGTAGCGGACCTTACCAATTTTTCTATGTGCTTGTTGCAGATCTTTGTTTTGGTTTTTAATGATTTTTTGTCGTAGCGCCATCTATGAGAAATCTATTTCATCAAAATTAGCCGTTAATAAACCAATTTACAACAAAGATCTGGAATGATTATAACAAACTAGTGGAGTAATTTCACAAAAAAAAAATGAATATCACAATGGTGAAAATTTCTGAAATTCAATAAACTTGATTAGAAGTTGAGATGTCTTTGATAAAAACTCTTAAATGCTTGAAAGAGCTCCAACAGAGGGTAGTGTTATCTTTGAGCACGAAACAAAGATCACAATAATAGTACCTACTAGTTTATCTAGGAAAATGAACCACATTTAATTTTTTTAATGAATCTTCTTAATCATATTAGACGCCATTGCTAGGTAGTCTACAAAGTGACCGGAAAAGAATACATACATCAACAACAACGTTAAGTCCAAGATTAGCCAAGTTCAAGAGCGTCTGCTTGTCGGCGGGGTCAAGTTGGGCATGGGTCACCAACTTGTTCAAGTTCTCCTCCGAGATGCCGTTCTTCGACATTATGTACAGCGCAATTATGCGCATCTTGTTGTAGTTTGACACAGACTGTAACAATATATATAGGGTTTTTCAACAAGAACCTTGTTTTGTAAATCAAAATAAAACAATAAATTTGTTATTTGGTGTGGTCACACAGCCACCGAAACAATGAATTTATTGCAAACCAAGTTTCCCGATCGCATAATTTCACGAAATTCAGCCCTTAATTGGCCAGCTCGATCATGTGATTTAACACCGTTGGATTATTTTTTATGGGGTTATGTTAAAGACAGAGTCTATACGGAGCCAATCGAATCGATTGCAGCCTTAAAACTCAAAATTTGTGAATTTTGTCAAAAACTGATTAAAAACTTTGATGAAAGAATCGACATCTGTAACTGTGGTCGTGGTGGACATTTATCAGATGTAATTTTTCATTCATAATTGCTTATTGTATTAAAAACTTTTTTAATACAATACAAATTTGAAACATTGTCATCTAAATTTATTGTTTTATTTTGATTTACAAAACGTCTCACAAATTGCATTCAGACTGTATCACAATTGCAAAAAGACAGTTGAAATGCTGTTTAGGGACCAACCTGAATCACAACTGCAGTTACACTAAGGTGCTGAGCTGGTCAAAGCGAGTGTTTGATGACGATTGGGAACTATATTTATGCACTTTATCTTAATAACGCACACACGCTCAATAACCCACACACTCAACATATGTACATATAGGTATAAATAAACAACTTGACAGGCGAAGGTTTTGGTGTATTGAAAGGATTAAAATGAGGACAATAGCTGCGAACCGTGAAGTGTTGCAAATAAATTTGATATAATTATACTCATTCTTTCTAATAATGCTTTTCAATTTTATATTTGCTGAGTATAATAGACCTTTTTCTGTGACTTACGATAGATAACGAAGGAGGGGTCGTTTTCATAACCATATAGTAACTGAAAGTTCATTTGATATATTTTAGGAAATGAAACTGTTTTTTCGGATCTAAATGGCGTATGTTTATCAAACAAACCAATGTTCCAGGTCCTTTTCGTGTCCCATGGTCAAGGATGACCGTTTTTAAACACGAAAAAATAGTTTCATTTCCTATGTGTGACAATCGCGAAAACGTCATATTTTTAACAGGGTAGCGTTATTTGAGTCATATCCTAGATAAATTTGTCCCTGGATTGAGTTCTTTTGATCGGTTGCAGTAGTTGGCCACGACCATACCGCTGTCAGTGGCAGCTTGTGTATTAAATTATTGTGTGTAAAATTTATGAAGCACGTTACGAGGCGACGACACACTAAGCGGCAACGCGATTTTTGCAGAGCGATTTAGAGAACGGTACGCGGAGCTAGGCGCGGCGGGAATATACGTACTGGCGAATTCAGGAGATGCCACGACCCAGAGTGACGTACTCAGCGGGGGCCGGAAAAAAATATTTTGAAATATTTCGGTGCAAAAGATGGACACAGAAGCATTTATTGGTGAAATATTAAATCGGCCACATAGTTCACAACAGAGACACAACCACAAATGGCAAATCATTGTTAACATAAATTATTATTATTTATTTATTTTCTTCTTTATTCATTTGTGGATTCCTTACCACGTATTCAAAATATCGTATTTAAAATATAAACAGCTTTCGAGGAAAAGCAGCGCTACTTTAGACGCCATGCCTAAATACGTACACCGCTGTTGCCGTCGCTAAACGTTACTGAGCGTACGTGGCGTGGACTACTCGGCGCTTGCTGCCGCGGCACTGGACGTTGCGTCGCACCTTGCTAAGCCAAAAGTAATAATAATAATAATAATAATTTATTTACGTCTTTTACATATAATGGTGTATAACTAAATTAGTACTAGTTTACAGTGTTTGGCTTGTTAGCACATTCTGCACACTCCATACTACGGTCGAAAGTTTTTACCTACTACAACATACAGCAAAGCGCTATCTGCACACGCGCAAATATGTGCGTGAAGTGGAAGATTTACCCATCACTTTCTCATACTATTACGTTACGTGGTCAGAGCGGCAACATAGCGAAAATTCTAACGCGAATCTGTTATCTATAATAATATCGTATTAATAGAATTGTAATAATTACACATGTCCAGAAGATATTTATAACGATATAATATTATATTTTTCATTAATTCACTAATTAGAATAATATTGAAGATATATTTTAAAAATACATTAAAAGCACTTAAAATGTTATATTTTGGACCGGTATTTAAATAAGGTAGGTAACCAAGGTATTTGAAATTGCGTTAACAAGGTTACCTAGTTAATAATTAGGCATATTCACTACATAATATTTATCGACAATACAAATTGAAAATTCGAAAACCCTTGTCTACTAGGTCACGAACTTATGGCGTCTCATTATATTGATATAATAAATCTGTATTATATATCACACTGCACTAAATAAATGAAGAAAACAATAACCGAATGAGTCTCAGACATAAGTTTTTTACTTACTTCGTTTAATCTTCCGGAAAACGAAAGAAACTCCTCTCTTCATTTCGCTTAGATGATGATAAACAGCCGTACACAACACTATTTACGACCATTATAAATAGAAACGTATGTACAAGTTTCGTATAGAATAAATGAAAAATATATTCAAAAAATAATTATACTTAACAGATGTAATAAGGCCAGAGTGAAAGAGTAAAAGTGCGTGTGTGCGTGCATTGAGTGTGTGTGTCTGTGTGTATGTGCTAATAGTCAAGTATTTATTTTATATTTAGAGTCGAATTTATTGACTCTGTGAATTTGTAGAGTAATATTTAAGTTCTTATAAAGTCTGGAACTTAATTAAGCTAATTGTCTTCTAGCAAAGGTAGTACGGCAGTTTATTGTAGGATAAACTGGTCTAAGTCTTCTGGTAGGTGGAAAATCAGCTGTCAATGGAACAGACGAATGTTGACCTAAACAGGATCGACGGATAAATATTTATGTCACAGGGAGTACATTAGCGTCTACCTCCCCAAATTGGGATACAGTAAGATAGGAGAGGAGTACATAGAGCAGTGTATACAGCATCTAAGATTTTTCGGTCTGCTGAGTAAAGTAATTTTTTATGCGTATTCTGTTGGCTACAGATTGTATTATGTGTTGTTGTTGGTCATACCAATTGAAGCTCTCGTCTAAAAAGACACCCAGATACTTTATGCAATTGGTTCTAGTCAGTGAAGGGCAGTTACAAACAGACGAATCACTGGTGCAGGTATGAGCACGGATTTCAATAGAGCCTTGAGTGGGATGGGCAGAACGTCTTGTGGCCAGTGTAATAAATTGCGTTTTCTCTACATTTGCTGTAAGTAGGTTATTATTAAGCCAATCCATAGCCAGCCTGAATACGGACTCTGCAAAAGCAACCATGTCGGCCCAGCTACTCCCAGAGACGATTAATGCCGTATCATCTCGCTTATGTAGGTACCGATTTTAGGACATTGAGTTCGATTTGACAAATAATCGGCAAAAATATCCAGAACTTTCCCCCTAACACCCACAGTTTCTAGTTTATTTAGTAGTAGTGGGACAGAGACGGTGTCGAACGCCTTTGAGAGGTCCAAGAAAAGTCAAGCCAAGACATGTTTGCTTTTCGTCTATTTCCTTGACAGCAGTTCTACTAGAGATATGGCATCCTCAGTGGATCTACCCCTTCTAAAGCCAATTTCGTTATTGGAGATGATATTGTTGGCCTACAGGAAGCTAATCAGACTACGGTTCAGAATTTTCTCGAGAATATTAGAAAAGGTTGGTAACACCGAGATAGGTGTAAAATTATTGACATTGTCTCTGTCTCCACTTTTATGTATGAGTTGTAATACAGCTTTTTTATGAGCGTTAGGAAATACAGCTGTAGTTATTGTCAGATTGCAAATATATGTTATTATTGGCGTTAGAGTAGGGCGAGCAGATTTTAAGTTCTGTTGGTGTCCCGTTCCAGCCGACCGCACAGTTACGGAGACTTCTAATTATATCTCTAATCTCATACTCCGTCAGCAAGACCATTGAGTTCAAAGTTCAAAGTTCAAAATTGGACAATTAGCAAAAACAGGTTTAATTTTTTTTAGCCAACTCTTTCAAAATAACTGTTGACTTGACAGCATTCGCAGATTCCGTAGGATCACTGCAAGTTTTTAGAAGCGCAATTGGAATTGATTCATTGAGACTGATGACCCATCAATTCGTTTATCGGTATGTGTAAACCTTTTTATTACTTCCCAGGTTTTTTAGGACTATACTTTGATTTATCAAATTCAAATCTTTCATATTCCCGCTTGAGTTATTTAAGTAGATTATTACAAAAATTACGATAGCGTTTGTAGGTAGTAGCTAAAAATCACGTTATTCGGATCAGTATTGACTTTCTTATGCATCACACATCAATCCAGGGCTTAATAATTCTCTGCCTACAATAAACAACAAACAAAGTATGTGTACAAATTATGGAGTTCAATATTGCCAAAAAGCATTCAATCGCCTGGTTAGCATTACTAAATGAATATATACTAGAGAAATCAGTGTTTTCAATTTCACAAGTAATTGCACACAAATTTAATTTCGTACTACACTGGTAATTTGACGTTTTAGCGGTACAAAGTTTAAATTTAGAAGGACTGGGTAATGATCAGTTATAGATGACTCAATATCGACAGTAGCAGCCTGAATATTGGTTTTTATGAGTACATGGTTCAAACAGTTGTTAACTCTTAAGGGGAGTGCTAGTTAAAAGCCATGAGGCGCAGTAAGTTTAGATATTCACCTGAGTGGACATCAACATTATTACTTTTTATGTCAATATTAATATCTCCGATTATAACGATGTTTCTAAACGATGACAAGATATGTAAAATGCAATTTAGGCTGTTAATAAAGTTATCTATTTATTATTTAGGATGGTGATCTATATAGAGCCACGATAGCTAGGTTATTATCAAATTTGCTGATTATATAATTAGCATCCAAAAAGAGTGGCTCCTGAATAGATAGTTTTTGACATAAATAACTACTCCTTCATTCTGATTTTT